AGAAGGAAGAAAGAGGAAAGAAAGAACAAAGAAGGAGGAAGAAAGGGCAACGAAAGAAAGAGTAAAGGAGCAGGAGGAAAGAGGAATGAAGATAGAAAGGGTTAAGAAGGAAGAATGTAAAAGGAAAGAAGAAAGAAAGAGGAAAGAAGGAAGAAAGAGGGAAGGAAGAAAGGAGAATAAAAAGAAAAAAAAAACGAAAAAAAAGAAGGAGGAAAGAAGAAAGGATGAGAGAGAAGAAAAAATAACAGAATATGAATAAAAGAGGAAAATTAAAGGAGGAATGAAGGAAGAATGAAAAAGGAAATAAGGAAGAAGGAAGAACAAAGAATGAAAAAGAGGAGGAAAGAAAAAAGAAAAATGAAGGAAAAAGGAAAAAGAAAAACAGAAGTAGAATATAAGGATAAATGAAAGAGGAAAAGACGGAGTGAAAAAGAGGAAAAAAAAAATTAAGGGGTAAAAAGGAAGAATTGGTGAGGAAAGAAGGAAAAAAAGGGAAGAATGAAAGAAAGATGAAAGACGTATGTTGGGGGAGGGGGGAGTGGTTATAAGGGGATAAAATAGAGGGAATTTATAAATTTATTTTAAAACTGTTTTTTTTTTAACTTTTTTGAGGTTTTTACACAACTTTAAATATTTGGTTTTAGAGGTTGTGGTATACTTGTATTTTAAGGGTATCATTGGAAATCGTATCACTTTATCAATAAAGAGTCGCTTTAAATGTCGAAATGCAGCTCTTCGACAATAAAATGAAAATTATCGGCTCTTAGTTTTGGTTAATTGAGGGCTCCGTATAATGTGTGGGATTTCATATATGTTAATGGTGCATTTTTGAAAAATCAACTGAATTTTATTTTAAAATTCCAACTAGCCAATCACTTTTGCTGGGGCCTGCATGTGAGCATGAAAACAATTGTGTTTTATAATTACAACTATTTTAACCGTTGTTTACCATTAACAGACAAACCAGCCAGACATCAAGCTTACTATATTTGTAGTTTGGAGAATAAAGTTCAGAATTTTTGAGGTTTTTTAAATTTTTCAATATTCCAATATTTAGTCAATACTCATTGCTCAATACGTATGTATATAATATATATACTGTTATAGAATGTAGATACTATTATAGCATAATCAACTATATTGTATTTTGAAGGGAGGCAGTGTAGCAAATAAATAATAATGCAAGTTAAAATTCATTAATTAGTTATTATTAAAATAAATTTTTTATAAATTTTGACAATTTTGTTAATTGTTGCCAATTTCCTTAAATTGTTCACGATTTTTGTTAAATTATTGACAATTTTGTTAAATTGTTGACAATTTTGTCAAATTATTAACGATTTTGTTAAATTATTGACAATTTTGATAAATTGTTGACAATTTTGTTAAAGTATTGAAAATTCTGTTAAATTGTTGAGAATTTTCTTAAATTTTTGCCGGTTTAAAATTAAACCACTGATTCGAAGTTCTTTTAAATCGGTGATTCAAATTTGAACCGACAATAGGCAGTTCAGCGACCCTGAAATTTATTAATTTGATCTCCTGTCGCAAATTTAATGGCATGCGAGAAAAAGTTAAATTGTCGAATATGTGAAAATTGAAACAGATGTGGTTTTAATATGATGGTAAGTTAAGAGTAATCCAACAAACATGCTTATTTTAAGTAAGTTTAGCGTAATCCATGACAAACAGTTTTAAACTTAAGTATTGTTAGTTTAACGTGGTCCAACATATATATATTTACTATTGGGTAGTTTAGCGTAATCCAACAGGTTTAAACTTCTGTTGTTAGTTAATCGTGATCCAACAAACAGGTTTAAACTTGTATAGTTAGTTTAGCGTGATCCAACAAACAGATGTTTATACTTGTATAGTTATTTTAGCGTGATCCAACAAACAGGTGTTTAAACTTGTATAGTTAGTTTAGCGTGATTCAATAAATAGGTTTAAACTTGTATAGTTAGTTTAGCGTGATCCAACAAACAGGTTTAAACTTGTATAGTTAGTTTAGCGTGATCAAACAAACAGGTGTTTAAACTTGTATAGTTAGTTTAGCGTGATTCAATAAACAGGTTTAAACTTGTATAGTGAGTTTAACATAATTTAACAAACAGGTTTAAACTTGTATTGTTAGTTTAACGTGATCCAGCAGACATATTTACTACTAGTTAGTTTTGAGTGTTGTGTTTTGCTCACATCTATATATAAACCAAAAAAATATGTTTTTGATATAAATATAAATATAAAACAGATACACATTTATTTTATATAAATAATGTCTCACACAGCATTGGAAAAACATGCATGGTTTAGATTTTAGAACTTTGTAGAGTCAGTAAATAAATTAATTAGGCATCTATAAATATTATTGTCAGCTTTGGTGTTGGTTGGTTGGTTTGCAACTGACAACAGTATAAAAGGTTGAGCCTTAAAGTCACACGACCCCATGGGAAAGGTTAGGGACTGTTATAAATCTGAAAAAAGTTAACATTGCTGTGTTCACAACAGTTAACGAAATTAGTTTTTTCTCGTTGCTTTGCGCCGTTATCTTAAAAAAAACAAAGTTTTGCTCTTAACCTCTGAAACTAAGGGCTACCTTTTAAAACACTTGGAACTATCCGTTAAGACAACGGCTTGAAAAGGTGTTATTGTGCACAGATCCCTGTTGAAGTAAAGTGGTTCAGTTCAGATTATGTAGTTCAACTACCTCCTGATATAACCAAATTTAGTTTCAAGAACATAAATTGTTAAAGGTAAGGCAGGATTTAGTTTATATTCTCCCTAATTTCAATGGAAATTTGTACCTTTTCTGTGAACAAACAAATGAAAATTAGGCTGTCTGTTCCTGCAGTTTATCTTACTTGCTTGCTTATTCTTTAAAAGGAGTGACCGGCTATGAAAGTAGTCAAACTGAGTATGCAGCGTTGTGGAAAACTTCTTTCGGATTCATTTGAGACATCTTAAAGATCTGTAAATCCTGAGTTTTAGCGCAAATTCGACGTTCAAAACTCCTACTTTAGGGATGGATACGTTTTCAGAATTAGTTTTTTTTTAAATTATTAAATAACGACAACGAAAAATAAAGTAAAAACTATACAGTAATCTAATTAGATGGCTAGAAACATATTTCACAAAAGAAATTTGTCAATAAATCAATGCTAAAATCGATTATTTCGTTTTCATTATTATATTGAATTTCTAATTTTCTTTGAATTTATTAGCAGATTTCTTCAAATTCTTCAAATTTCGTCTTCAATAATATTCCAGAAAATCTTTGTGAATAATGAGAAACCAGAATAATGAGAAAATATAAACTAATAAATAATAATTGACCAAGATGACTTATTTTCGATGATGAGGTTAATTTTTATTTTTTCTCAACCTGTTCCTAAACAACTAATTAGTTTACTGTCGCATTTTTTACATTTTATGTCGTCGTTATTTAATAATTTAAAAAATAATTCTGATAACGTATTCACCCCCAAATTAGAAGTTTTGAACGTCGAATTTGCGCTCAAATTCAGGATTTACAGATCTTTAAAAAGTTTTATAGGTCTCAAATGAATCCGAAAGAAGTTTTCCACAACACTGCATACTCAGTTCAACTACCTTACATAGCCGGTTACTCCCTTTAAACTAAAAACTAGTTTGGTTAATTTGCACCATGCTAAATCTATTGTTTTAGAAAATATTTAATACGATGTGGTTATTTCTAGATATGATAAGTTTTTTGAAAAAACTAAATTTTTCTATTTTTTTTGTTTGATCATTCTTTAAGTCACCATAATTTTTTTTAAAGGGAGTGATAAGGTAGTTGAACTGAGTATTAAGTGTTGTGGAAAGCTTCTTTCGGATTCATTTGAGATATATAAAACTTTTTAAAGATCTGTACATCCTGAGTTTGAGCGCAAATTCGACGTTCAAAACTCCTACTTTGGGGGTGGATACGTTTTAAAAACTCAGATTTGCAGATCTTTAGAACGTTTAATATGTCTCAAATGAATCCGAAAGAAGCTTTCAACAACACTGCATACTCAGCTCAACTACCTTACATAGCCGGTCACTCCCTTTAAAGCTTGCATGAACTTGTTAATACAGAATAGATTTTCTCCGGTTTCGGAGAGAGTCTCTAGGGAAAGAGAAGCATGGATGGGGATGAGGGAGGAGGGTTTTGATGATTAGTTGAGAGGAGGATGAGCACCGGAAAGGTTGTTTTCCAGAATTTAAATTGCATTAATTTGGTCTGAATTTTCTGAAAAGTATTATTATTAAGATTAACAGGATGCGTCCCACCAAATATATGAATTTCAAGGGACTGACTTTCTAATTTCAAGTGACCTTTAATTTGAAGGGAGCATGCCTGATTCACAGCAGTTCCTTGTTTTATGAATATGTGGAAAATATCGTTGGGTTTCTAGCTGGGAAAGCGTTTTTTGTTACATTTTCATCCGTTGTTTTCAAAGTGAGAAATGCGCAAACTAATTCGTAATTTTGCGTTGAGTGTATTTGCGATTTATAGCAAAAATGCAAAAAATTGCATGTTTTATGTTAATATAAAAGATACGTTTAAAAATGTATTGTTGGTATTGCTCCAAGGTTTTGTTTAAACTATATAAATTTTCAAAATAAATATCATCATCCCTTGCTTCGAAAATATTATTTTCAAAACAAATGTCATCAGCTCTTGCATAAAAAATACCTTTTTTTCAAAATAATTGACATCAGCTCCTGTTTAGACGATATTCTTTGATGGGCGGATTATTGATATTACCAATGATCTATTATTTTCAAAATTAACGTCATCAGCCCTTGTTTAGACGATATCATTTTAGAATTAATATCAACAGCTCTTGTTTAGATACCGTCATTTTCAGATTAATAAATGTCATCATATCGTGCATAGTCAATATTGTTTTTAAAGTAAATGTCATCAGCTTTTGTTTGTACAATATCATTTTCAAAATAAATGTCACAATTTCTTATTTAGACAATATCATTTCAGATTAAATGTCATCATCACCTGGAGAGAGCTCACTTGCAATTGTCATTATATGTAAGAAATACAAACCAAATCTTTCCCTTCCCTTTTTTGACGCCTGACGCCATCTCCCCCCAACCCCCACCCTCATACCGATACTAAACATTATTAAGAAGAAGTAGAAGTTAGAACTTTTGTGTTGAGAATTCGGGATCAACGTTGATCTCAATCTTATGCACACACATCCAGACTGCTATAAAAGTTGTATCAAGTTTAAGCTATGGACGACTTTAAAGTGTGTCGTATTGCCTAATTATTTTACAGCACTAACTTACTTCTGTTTTTTGTTGTTGAAGCTTTAGCTAGACATGTAAATTGTACATTTCAGAACTCTAGCTAGACATGTACATTGTACATTTCAGAACTCTAGCTAGACATGTACATTTCAGAACTCTAGCTAGACATGTACATTTCAGAACTCTAGCTAGACATGTACATTTCAGAACTCTATGCTAGACATGTACATTTCAGAACTCTAGCTAGACATGTACATTTCAGAATTCTAGAGCAATTGTATTTGATTTTTGTCTTTATGAAGTAATTAGAGAAATTCTCATCGAATTTTCCGTGAAAGCGTGCAACCTTTGGATCCAAGTTTGAAATATCAAAGGATTACATCGTATTAAGGTTACAAAGATATAGAGATTATAAAATTTGAGTTTGTGGCAAAGACTCAGTTCTTTTGTAATATCTTTTGCAATTGTTTTTGGGTAGTTTTTTGCACATATCTTCTGTCACTGGTCAAAATTTGACAAAGTGTATAGAAAGAAATAATAAACAATACTTCTGACTCTCACGCACCTCTGCTACTTTACTAAAATTAAATTCAACCTAAATGAAGCACAAAGTCTGACTGCGTCAACCTTGTTGCACCAGCTAGTCCTGTCCATAGAGCTAGGTACAGTACAAACAAAAGGATTACATCGTATTAAGGTTACAAAGATATAGAGATTATAAAATTTGAGTTTGTGGCAAAGGCTCAGTTCCTTTGTAATATCTTTTGCAATTGTTTTTGGGTAGTTTTTTGCACATATCTTCTGTCACTGGTCAAAATTTGACTGTGTGTATATAAAGAAATGTTCATAATAAACAATACTTCTGACTCTGCACGCACCTCTGCTACTTTAGTCAAATTAAATTCAACCTAAATGAAGCATAAAGTCTGACCGCGTCAACCTTGTTGCACCAGCTAGTCCTGTCTATAGAGCTAGGTACAGTACAAACCGGGACCGGAAAGGTTGACCCGGCTCGGAAATTCAAATGTACTACACTACGGCTGCCCGTGTCTTATACCATGCCAAATGTTGTCTCTAAAAAGGAAATACAAGGGAATAATTCCAAAAACCGAACCAACTGAAGGCCCATCACTATCCACAACTTGAAAAATGCATGAAAATCTTAAAATAAATTGTTACTTTACAACACGAAGACTGTCGCTTAAAGTACTTTATAAAACAACCCTGAAAAGAACATGTAGATATAAAGTACTTTATAAAACAACCCTGAAAAGAACATGTAGATATAAAGTACTTTATAAAACAACCCTGAAAAGAACATGTAGATATAAAGTACTTTATAAAACAACCCTGAAAAGAACATGTAGATATAAAGTACTTTATAAAACAACCCTGAAAAGAACATGTAGATATAAAGTACTTTATAAAACAACNACTTTACAATATTATACAGTTATATACTTTACAATATTATACAGTTATATACTTTACAATATTTTACAGTTATATACTTTACAATATTATACAGTTATATACTTTACAATATTATACAACATATATAAAACATGAAGAAGCACATTGGTCATCATTCATAAATATTTAATCATTAAAAAAACTGAATAATGAACAGAATATTGAATTATCAAAAAATATTGTATTTTTTGAAAAACATTAAATTATTTAAAAGATATTGAATTATTTAAAAAATATTGATTTTTTAAAAAAAATATTGAATTATTTAAAAATTCAGAAATATAGTATTTCTAAATATCATAATATTTAGAAATATTAAATAATTTGTAAATATTAACTTATTTCTAATTTAATATTAAAGGGAGTGTATGCGTGATTTCAAGTGACCCTCGTCCCTCTCCATGTAAAAATGGCAAGGTTCGATTAACAACAGTTCCCTTAGAAACTTTGTCAAATCAAGTATAAATTAGATATTCATTTTTCTTTAAACTGCTTTTTTTGTGGTTTTGACGTTGCGAAATTAACTTCACTTATCAAGCACTTTTCAAGCACAGTCGGTCTTCCACATTATATTCAAGGGACAACGTTGTAAATCAGGCATTGCCATCTTAGTATGGGGGTCACTTTAAATCACGCTTACAGTCCCTTTGAATTACGCTTACAGTCCCTTTAAATTTATCTTGCAGTCCCGTTAAATTACGCTTACAGTCCCTTTAAATCACGCTTACGGTCCCTTTAAATTACGCTTACAGTCCCTTTGAATTACGCTTACAGTCCCTTTAAATTGATCTTGTAGTCCCTTTTGAATTACGCTTACAGTCCCTTTAAATTGCTCTTGCAGTCCCTTTAAATTACGCTTACAGTCCCTATAAACTACGCTTACAGTCCCTTTAAATCACGCTTATATGCAGTTCCTTTAAATTACTCTTACTGTCCCTTTAAATTACGCTTACACTCCCTTTAAATTAAGCTTACAGTCCCTTTAAATTACACTTACAGTCCCTTTAAATTACGCTTATATACAGTTCCTTTAAATTACGCTTACATGTCCCTTTAAATTACGCTTACAGTCCCTTTAAATTATGCTTACAGTTCCTTTAAATTATTTATCAATATAACTATTATTATTAATTAGAAATAAATTAAATCATTTGTAAATATTTGATTAATTCAAAATTATGAAGTATTTTTAGATATTAATTTAAGGTTTATTAATATGACATGGTTTAGGTGTGATGAGCATTGTTGTGTGTATACTTATATGCTCCTATTGCAGGTATTCTAACTTTTCCATTTAACCTTATTCTTACTGGAGGGGTGGGGGGGGGATGTTGCGTGTATNGTCAAATTGACCCCCCCCCAGCAGGAATAGGGTTAACTTTTCCATTTAACCGTATTCTTACTGGGGGGGGGGGGGTTAGGTCCCCCCTTTATGAAGGTTGTCTGCCTTGAAAAAAAAGTTTTTTCTGTAACACTTTTTAATTAGATTCAGAAGAAAAATTTGAAATGAAATTAATTCAAAATGGAATTAATTTGGAATGAAATTAGAAAATTAAATGACTTTATTTAATGTTTGGGACTAGGAATTGGGGACTGGAATATGGTAAACATAATAAATACCCCAGGTTCTTCATAAATCAAGTTTATTGTATTTCTTAGTGCCCATTCTAATTTGTCAAAAATAGCTCTATATTATTAGTAAACTCACATTTAAAACATAAAACATCAGACTACCCAGCGTTACCCGTGGTATTTTAAAGTCGTCCCAAAGACTTTAGAGAACATTATCTTGTGTCCAAATACTTAGTTCGAGGATAAATCCTTACGAAGCGAAGAAAAAACGAGCAATAGTCAAATTTTTTAAAAAAAATAGTATTTTTACTGAAAGAACGATTTTTTAAAATAACTTTTTAAAGAAACCAACGAAACGAACGAAATCAATTTTATTTTGAACAATTGAAACAAAAACGAACAAAATGAATTGTTCATTGGAACGATTCACGAACAAAATGAAAAAAAAATCGAACGCACCCATCTCTGACCATTTGTTACGGTATCTTTTCTATAAATAGGGATGTGAGTTTTTAAAAGCGTTCCTTTTGATTTTTATTTAGATTTTAAACTAACTACAAATTACGATTCGTTTTTTGAAAAAAAAAGAATTGTTAAACAAACGAAGTGTTAGTTTTAAATTTTTGAAAACGATCGTTCCTTAAAACTTTAGTTTTATAAGCAATCTTTTTGAAAACGATCGTTTTAAATTAAAAACGACAGTTTAAAAAAAATTAAAAAAATAAAATTTTGTTCAAAAATACTTTGAACAATTAAAAACATTTTAAATGTAATTAAAAATGTTTAAAATTTCAATATTTTTGAATTAAAAAAAACATTTAAAACTTTTTTGAAGTTGAAGTAATCCATTTTCCAAAATTTAGAAATAAAATTTTTTCAAACAAATTTTAATTTATTTATTAAAATTATTTGATTCTTTTTGAAAAATTTAAATTCAAAATGATTTTTTACTGCCAATTTTTCATTCCAAAACAATTGTCTTTCCATTTTTGAAAACGATCGTTTTACGGAACGATTTTTTCTTACCAACTATCATAATTTAGTTTATCCCTTTCAAAAACGATAGTTTTCAAAAACGATCGTTTTCTAAACGATCGTCGTTTCAGTTTTTTGTCATTGTTAAGGAAAAAAACAACGTTTTTAAAAAAAATTCAAAACTGCCCATGCCTATCTATAAGACAATTAAACCTTTTGACCTTTTAGCCAGCTGTAAAATGTAACACACCTGCATATTACATATAGTCCCAATAAACATGGGAAGTATATGACGACTTCTATATCGTCTTTTTTATCCATGCAGGATTATTTCGTAAGCATATTTTTGTAGTAAAACTTTAACACCGTAAACTTCTAGTCTCGAGATTTCCGAAATGTGGTCTTTTTACCTTCAAAATTCACGGAGATATTAGGAAATTTGTCCAGATTCCAGTTCATTAAAAATCAATAAAACGGTTAAAATGTTTAATAACTCCTTAAATTTTAAAGATTATAAAAAAGATAGACTATAGTTCAATCAATTTTTTATGTCATTTATCATTTATTGGGAATCAAAGACGATATCTGTGTTGTCTCTCAATTCCCATGTTTATTGGGGCCCCCTGTGCAATGTTAATTCTGACGGCCAGCTCTAGATGTTTTTACTAGAAGTGGGGCGATTAATTGTTGTTCTTGAAGCTGCCAGTTTGTCTGCAAACCTCAAGGATTTTCTGTTTAAACTGGTGCATCATTAAAAATAATAAACGACATCATCATTTTATTTCAATTTCCACCAGTCATTTGAGATGCCACAAAAAAGTTTGAGGGTCACTTTAAATTACGCTTACAGTCTCTTTACTTACATATACATGTTTCTCATATACTGTACCTTCCCTTGGCACCCTCCTTCCATCCAACAATTCTGTTTTAAATTGAAAACCAATATAATCCAGATTTGATGCAGGAACTAAGAATACAGTTGGTTTCCAATAAAAAGTATTAAATATCGACGGCTAAACGTGGAAGGAAGAAACTGAATATTTTAAAAAGAAGAATGAACGTAAATATATGATTTTCGCAACATTTATTAATTCATTGGTGAAGTAAAAAAAGGTGGCTTGGTGCCAAATTTAGTGAAACAGAGTTTAAACTCCGTTATTTGAACCACTACTTTTGAGCCGGTTCAAGTTAAACAGAAGTGGTTCAGCTTAGTCTATGTGGTTCAAATGTCTTTTGATATTCATTTACAGCTAAGAGTGTCACAAGTAAAAGGGTCGCAAATCGCCCTAAAAGTTTAAAAATAAATTTGTGTGTACAAAGCAAATACGTATTAAAATAAAAACATTCGGTTTCTTTTATTTGAAAGCAAACGTGTTTTGATCTACAAATTTGTTTATTCTATATTTGTCCATTCAAAAAGGCTAAACAATTATTTTTAACGGGTCAAATTGTGATCTAAAGTCAAAGCTTTCAAAAATATTTAGAGTGGCGTAAAATAAATATTTGGATTTTTGCAAATTTGTCATTTTTTGGCAGATTATTGAAGTAGAGCCCAAG